TTCTCTGTCTTGCTTGAAAGCACCTGATAAGAAACTCCATGAGACTGAGGAGCACAGCTTCCAGCCCATGTTTTGAGTGGCGGAATGAAGTCGGTATCATCTGCAAATGGGTCCCAGATGTGCAGGTGATTAACCCCAGGCAGAATCCCAGCGCCAGCAGGGGCAGTTTCCTTCACCTCTGTCACCCCGGACCCCAAATTAGAGGTTGCTGTGTCAAGGGAGAACCACAGACCTACGGTTGCTTCTGATGTGTTTGGGGTAACAGCAGCATTTGCAGGCAGTGGGGCAGACCAGGGCCACAGCCAGCAAGTCTCTTGTCCAGCAAACACTGAAGGGATGGAAGCTGGGCTACAGACACAGGATAGGGCTTGATAAACACAACAAGCCTTGAGGCAAAGCAGGTTGCAAGTCTGCAGATTTTGGAAGGGGCAAACAAGATCCAGTTCCACCCACAGACCTCACAGAATGAAGCGGAGAGCTCCGCTGCACATTCCCAGGACACACTGAAGCAGACATGGAAACCAGTAAACAAAAAAAGCCAGGCAGCTGGATTTTCAGGTCTAACCACATTTTTGAGGAAAGATTCCTCAAAAATGTGGTTAGACCTGAAAATTTCCAGATTTCTAGATTCCTGGGCTCCCTTTTTTCAATAACAGGATTCCCAGTGCTGGCAGGCCAGAAACCCACCGTGCAGGTGTGTACTTTGCACATCCAACAGGAAACCCAGCCTGGCACAGAAAGTGAAACAGTTCCTGGCCTTTATGATGATGAGCTCAGTCAAATGTGGAACAAGTGAAAAACACAAGCGGGTCAAAGTGCAGCTCACAGCCTGTTATTAAGCTGAGAAGATGCCAGCTTGGAATAACTCCACACCATAGGATAATCCTGTGCAATGGAGATAGGTACCCATTCTCCTGACAGGGTTTCCATCTGCCTGCTTGCTACAGCTTGCACTGCTGTGGAGTCTGCACCCCCTGCCCCATTTTGGGAGCTCCCCAGCCTGGACCTGCCCCAGTTCTGGGGAAGGCACCCACCCACTGCAGCTCCCACCCACAGCTCCTTGGAGCAGGGCATTGCATCCCACTCACAGCCCCAAGAATGCATTTACAGCTTAAAGTGACTGTGATAATCTCTTTTTTTTTTTTTTTTTGGATGATGAGGCTGAAAGCTCATTAAGGCCATTACAGCAGAGGTGACAGGTGTAACAGAGAACCATTACTGTGTTTATGCTGTTACAGCAACGTGTGTAATTTAGTTTTAAAACTTTAATCATTTGGCTGCCAGGACAAATGAATTAGTGTGATGATGCTTTCCAGAGGAAGATGCTGATGATGTAGTTTGCAGAGCTTGTGCATCTGGGATTCCCCTGGGATAAGAGATAGGATTTGAAGGCTTACCAAATGCATTACAGGATCTACCTCACTTCACCTCAGTGAGTTTTGTCCCTCCTGTATTTATCTCACCTTGTTTCTCCACTGCTGCTTTATCTCTGTCCTCAGAGCAGAGAGGAGGCAAGACAAGGCATGTCTGTTGGTGCTCACTCTCAGAGCACAGCGGTCCCAGCCCTGGCCAGCTGGGCACACCTCTCCAGGAGAGCAGAGGTGAGGCCCAGACTTAACTGCACAGCACAGACTGATAAAAATATCCCAGACTGATAAGACAGTGCCCTGAGCCAGCAAAAGTTGAGGAAGTGGTGGCGGCACTGGGGAGCGGCCTCAGGAAAGGCTTAGGTCAGGAAGAGCACAGGGCAGGGATGTGGCTGAGGCTCAGGGAGCAGAGGTGAGGTGGGCACAGCCATAGAGAAATCCATAGGATGTGAGTCTGGGATGAGCAGAATCAAAGCACCTTGGTCACACACATATGGCCCCGTGGATTGCACCTGGAGCAGAAAATAATATAAAGCCAGAGGGATGGTGGATGGATGAAGATACCCTGCACCCACATTGCCTCTGTGGGAGGCTCAGACTAACCCATCCCCTCTGTAAACAGGAGCACTGTCCCTTTAAAACATGTGAATTTCTCCAGAAACAATTATGCAGCATAAACACAGCAAAATCAACAGGGTGAATTTTGAACTAATAAAGATTTAATCTCTCAGTCATGAGACTGGGTTTGCTAGGAAAATACACACATCCCTGAGACTGCAGCTACGGTTGCTATACTACACACTGCTCAGCAGCTCACTGGGCATTCTTCCAAATCCATTTATTTTTAACATCAGTCACATTATTCAATTAATTATAAAAACACTGAGGTTTTCAAGAGATGTTTCTGATAAAACTGCGAAGTAAATATGCGTGAGAACAGCAAGGATTAAAGTCTCTGTAAACTTTAGCATTTGAGGCTGTTGCTATAAACAAGAGAAGCCCTGGAGAAGGTTATTTACCAGAGTGAATCATAGCAGATAGCAGAGTCTCCTCCCACACCACACACAGGGATCGTTTGTCCTTTACCTAGGGATGGAAGCAGAGCATCCACATGTCTGTCAGCCATGTGCTGGGGCATGAGAGGTGCGAGAACTGGGCTGGATTCTTCAGATGCCTCTGGTATTTCAGCAGCACAGCTTGTAAATATCAAATATTTAGCAGGCTCTTTCCTAATAGGCTGGAAACAGAAATCAAAAAATACCAGCCCATCTCCAGCAGTGCCTCAAAGCCTTGAAAACACCAGATAGGAATTGATGGAAGGATTCAAGCCTCACCTGTACCAGCAGCCTGTAAGCCCTGCTGTTTCCTGGTAACTCCTGGTATGTCCTGTGATGGTTTCACTGTACCAATACAAAATGTTTTCCCAGTCCAAAGTCTGTGTAAGCTTAACCTGGTAAGCAAAAATCATAATGCATTTGACTTGATCCAATTTTTCACTTTTATCCAAGAACATTTCTGTGTACTTTTCTTAGCAGACTTTTTTTTTTTTTTCCAAGGTTCACATTGTGGTGGAATTATTTGATAGCTCTGATATTGTCTGCATAGATGGCAGATTACAGGCAAGGAGTCTGGGCATCAAAGCCTGGCAGAGAGCAAGGACTCCCAGGCTTTCATCCAAGCTTTGCATATCAGCCTTGGGAACAGTCCCTCCCACATGAGCCTCAACTTCTCAGCCACAGAGGCTCTTGGGCAAACACCTAAATTTTAAATCCAGGCAAATCACGTTGATGATTGCAGCCTCCTTCAGGACAAGGAGAGACATTTTGTTCTGCTTGCCCTTAAAGGATGGAATCCAGCCTAACCAGGGATCCCAGCCGCAGCGCTGGACGCAGCAGCAGCAGCACATAATAACAGGGAGCCATTTTGATGAAGGGATGTGCCCGGCTGGTTGCCACATCTCACTTGTGGAGGGTGAGATTCCAGCTCTGGGCCCTGCCTGGTGCTGCTCCCCAGGGCTCTGTGGTACCTGGGGCTCCCTCCTGCTCCAGCCAGCCCAGGCACTGCTGGCCTGACCCACTGCCACGCTGTGCTGCCCTGAGGGGACAGCATGGCCACAGCGCTGAGTGGCCCGAGGAGCCGTGTGCCTGCAGCCCGTGGGACACGCTGAGGAGAGGGATGTCACAGGAGCTGCTCGGGCACTGGGACAAGCCAGAGGAGAGCTCCTGGCTGTCAGGAGGATGCAGGGAGGACGTCTGTCACCAAACCACAGAATGGGTCCACAGTGGGTGATCTGGCCCCATCTTCCTGCTCAAGCAGGGTTGTTACAGACATGTTTTATGAAAAATCCTTTTGCCAGGATCTTTTCTCCTGAGAAGCTGAGAAGCTTCAGCTTCTCCATGTTTTGCTGCTTTGGAATGTGATTTGGAGAATTGTTTACCCAGCGTGTGAAATTGTTTTTACTTGATGACCAATGACAGCCACCTGTGTCGAGGCTGTGAGCAGTCACAAGATTTTATTATCATTCCTTTCTATTCCTTTCAAGCCTTCTGATGAAATCCTTTCTTCTATTCTTTTAGTATAGTTTTAGTATATAATTTTCTTTTAATATAATATATATCATAAAATAATTAATCAGCCTTCTGAAACATGGAGTCAAGATTCTCATCTCTCCCCTCGTCCTGGGACCCTTGTGAACACCACCACACAGGGTCATCCCAGAGCACGTGGCACAGGACCATGTCCAGACGGTTCTGGATTATCTCCAGTGAGGGAGACTCCACAACCTCACTGAGCCAGTGAGAAATCACTGCACAGGAAAGAAGCTCTTCCTTATGTTCAAGTAAAACTTCCTGGGCATCGCTTTCTGCCTATTGCCTGTTGTCCTTGTGGTTGGCACCATTGACCTGAGCCTAGCTTCATCCTCTTGGGACTCCACTTTAGGTAATTATACATATTAATGAGGTCCCCTCTCAGTTGTCTTCTCGAGGCTAAACAGGCCCACCTCCCTCAGCCTTTCCTCATAGCAGAGATGCTCCAATTCCCCAGTCATCCTCATTGCCTTCCGCTGGACCCAGTTCCAGGAGCTCCTTATGTCTCATGCCAGATGACTCTGCCATCACCTCGGCGCAGGCAGGGACACCCCAACGGCAGGTCTGTGCCAGCTGGGGGCTGCTCAGCCTGCAGAGGGGCTCCAAGACACCGTGTGAGGCGGGAAGCCCGGCGCCCCAACTCCCGCTGAGGGGACACCGAGGACCCCGCTTCCCGCCCGCCCCCTCAGGCAGGGGGCGGGGCTTGTCCAAACCGACAGCCCTCTCCTCCAATCCTCGCGCTCTTTTCCCCGCCCCGTGCCGAAACAACCAATCACTGCCTCGCAGTGCTCAGCCCGCCTCCTTGCTGCTGTCCAATCGGGCGGTGCCGCTCGCGTTCTCTCGTCTCGGGGGAGGGCGGGTGTTACGTGCCGTCGGTATTCCCGAAGCGCGGCGGCGCCGCTCTCGCCGTGCGCTGCCCGCGCACCGCCTGCGCTATCGGCGTAGCGGCCGCAGTTGGCGTAGCGCGGGTAGAGGCGGCCGTGTCGGGGAGCGGCGGCCGCCGTGCGAGGAGCGGGCTGGAGGAGCGGGCAGGGCCGGGCGGGCACCGGGCCGGGACCGCGCCGCGACCGCGCCGCAGGTCAGTGGAGGGCGCTGGGAAGCCGGCTGAGACCTTCCGTAAGGCAGCTGGTGATGGGGGGCCGGGAGAGGGGTGAGATAGGGCTGCACTCGGTGTACGGGCTGGGAAGGTGCTGAGACCCGGCTGCAGCTCGGTGCTCGGGCTGTGGGGCCGGAGCGGGGCTGCGGCCCGGGCATGGCTCGGTGCTTGGCCCCTGGGGCCGGGCTGCAGGGCAGTCGGGGGTTCGGAGGGCCGAGAGGTGGGCTAAGATCTGGGCAGAGCTGAGTGCCCGGCTCGGACAGAGAGCTGGGACCTGGGCACAGCTCAGTGCACAGCTCAGTGCCCGGCTCAGACAGGGAGCTGGGACCTGGGCACAGCTCAGTGCCCGGCTCAGACAGGGAGCTGGGACCTGGGCACAGCTCAGTGCACAGCTTGGACAGGGAGCTGGGACCTGGGCACAGCTCGGTGCACAGCTTGGACAGGGAGCTGGGTCCCGAATACCATTCAGTGCGTGCCCCCGCAGTGCCAGGGGACAGGCTGTGACCTCACAGTATCCAGGGCTGAGACCTGGCAGCAGTGTGGAGCACTGACCTGCCTCCCCGCTCTGCTCCAAGGTTTCTGCGGGACAGCGGAGCCCCCGTGGAGGTGCCCGGCCCTGGCAGAGCCGGCTGGGTTCTCCCTCAGCCACCGGGCAGGAGAGGGTCTTTAACCACCCACCCACCCACGCAGGCAGCTCCTAGAGTCAGTGAGGATTGTTTACTGCCCGGTGCTCATAACCTTGTCCCTTTGAGATGTTAATCAGCTCCTGCCTCCCTGGTTTAGGTGTTTTGTAAATGTGTAACGAAATCGCTGTCTGCAGCCCCAGATCTGAACTGTGCAGGGCACAGCTCAGTGCAGAGCCGGTGGGAAGGCAGCATTCCCGGTGGGCCTGGCCATTGGACAGCCAGATGACCTGATTTGGTTGTTATGCTGTGTAATCTGGAGCAGGCTGCTTGTTTTTTTCCCCCTCTCTGCTGCTTTCTCCATTTATAAGATACAGGTGCTAACACTTAGGGCTGGTTGGAAATGCAGGAGAGAAACATATTTTGCATTTCTTGAGACGGCTTTTCCTTCCTCTTGTTAGACTGCACATTAGAATGATCTTGCGCTGTAAACTGCTTCTAAGTATGATGACTGAAAATAGAGCAAATTTTTATTAGCTGCTTTGCAAAACAGAAATTACAAGGAGGATGACAACAGTGAAGCTTGCCCTAGGCAAAAAGGGGAAAGAGGATGTTGGGGCTGGACTAATTGGGGCCATACCTCTTCAGACTGGAATGAGTCTGGACTGAATATTACCTATCCAAACAGGTTTTAGAGCAGGAGGAGTCCAAGACTGGCTGGAACTAATTTACTCATTTCCCTCCCAAAGGCTGACCCAAAGACCTGTATCAAAGAGTTGCACAAGAGATAGAGACTGGAAGCTCTTTGAATGTGCTGCCCGAAGAGTTAAGGCCTCTCCTGGGACTTGAGATGACTTCTCACAAGAGATGCTTTCAGGAGGGGCTGTGCTGAAGACAGAGCACTGCAGCCTCTAACTGGGACAGCTCCTGCTGGTCTGGAGCTGAGACCCAACTTCCCTCCCTCCCTTTTCCCTTGGAGATGTTGCAGAGATTTAATCTGACCTCTTCCTGCTCACCTGAAGCCTGCCGTGGCGATGACCCCACAGCCAGATCCGACCACCAAAGAGAAGAGAATCGTGCGTTTGAGGCTGGGCCCTCGTTGTAACTGAACTGGAATCTATCCCTGCTTCTGCTCCCACAACGACTGCCCTTCCTCTGCTCGTCTGTTTGTGCTGTGAGCCACTTCTCCCTGATCTTGTTTGGAATTCCTGAGCTTTCCACGCTGAATTTGCCCATGGCTTTCTTGATGAAGAAGAAGAAATTCAAGTTTCAGACAAGTTTTACTCTAGAGGAGCTGACTGCTGTCCCCTTTGTCAATGGGGTTCTGTTCTGCAAAATCAGGCTGCTAGATGGAGGAGACTTTGCTAGTTTATCTAGCAGGTAAGACCCTGTCTGCAGACTTGCTGCCTGGCTGTGCTTCTTTCCCTGGTTATTCTTCCCTTGAATGGTTTAGCATATGGCAACCACTTGCTTACCCCTTGATGGGATTTTAATAGTTCTGTTGTAGGGCCCCACATGCCCTTTCATTCCCCAGAGCAGGGGAAGTGCATAGCTGAGAGCTCTGAACCTGGGTGGTGTTGGCTGATTTGAGCTGGATTGAATTTTTCAGAGGTGAGGGGAGGGAGTGGGAGGTCACTCTGAAAGGGGATTAAATCCTCTCTTCTCTCTCCCCCTCCTCCTTGCCCAAGTTCTCACACACTGTTTCAAACCCTGTTCTGTATTGCCTTCATGCCTTATTTGAAACTTAACTCTGTAGGAAACTATGTCTAAGCAAATCAACCCTTCCCAACCGTGCTCCCCCCTTTGATACTGAATTTCTCTTCTTGGTAAGGGTGGAAGTAGTTTGTTTTGCATTGTAAATTGCTGTGCAAGGGAAAACTGCTGCCTGCAGTCAAAGTTGTCAGTGTTAAAGACCCAGTTTATCTCCTTGAACTGATGCCATTGCATTTCCCACTTCAGAGCAGCAGTGTTTTCTATGTCATGTTGGAATCCTTCTGCTACACGTATTATAAGGTTCTGCCATCCTCTATTGGCATTTCTCTGCCTCCTTCAGGCAGGTCTGTCCCCACTCTTGTTACTAATTGCTAATAAAAACTTGTTTTGTTTCCAACTATGCACACAGATTATCACGAACAGTATGCAAACACAAATTCCATAACAGCCCAGACTTGCTTTCTGCTTCAAAATATGAAGGAAGCCTTCAGTGGCTTTCAAAACTTGTTTTTTTACTTTGCTGAGTGACTGCTCAGTTTTAAAGGCACAGGATTAATTTGTGCTAGCTGTTAACTGCTTTATCCCAGGACTAAAGCCTGGTTGGGTCTGGTTTTCCTCTTTGTAGTGCTTTGTACTGGAGCAATTTCTCATTTCAGGAGAGAAGATTTTATTGGGCAAGCATAAAACATTTCTGTCTTGCAAACAGAAGTGTTAGGGCAGTGCTCAAAGCTTGGGTTTGTTTTTTTTTTTCCAGAGGCACAATACAAACTCATCTGAAGTCCATAGAAGCTGAGGGTGTGGAACACCTCCAGAAATGGACTTTGAATTAATTTCTCTTTTGAAGAAAATCTATCAAAAGAGCTTTTCCTTAGTGTTCTCCCCTGGGGCTAGATCCTTGGGTTTGGTGGAAGCAGTTTATCTAAGGAATTCAAACAGTATGTGAACTTGGAAAGAAATTAACCCTTCCGCTTCCTGCAATAAGTGGCACTGGAGGGTGTCTCAGGAAAAGCTGTGCAGGGAAATGTCCATCTCCCTCTCCTTGCTGTCCCTGACAGCAGCTCCTGGGAGCCACCCCTGGGGTTTGCTGGTGCTGCCAGCCGTGTGGGTTGTTTTCTGAGCTGGCTGGGGTTCAGTAGTTCGCTCAGCGTTGCAGATGTGTTCCAGCACCAAAATCAACTGTAATTCAAAACCAAACACATACATAGCTCTGAAACGAGCAAAGGCAAAGAGGGCTGGGGGGTTTCCCGCCTTTCCAACCTGTCTGTGCTCTAACTGAAAGCACATGGAAACCTGTTCCTGCTTGAAAAGTTATGGGTCTCAGTGGTATTGAGTCATTTGACCTTTTCCAAATATTTTTTCCCTGTTGCAGTTAGAGAAACTTCAGGAGGGATGAATTTCCAGAAGAGTTACTGTGTGGAGAGGCTCCCAGGTCATGCCTCGGCTTTGCTCTGTGCTCCTCTCTTCATTTCTATCACCTTTTTGATACTCACTGGGAAAGGTGAAAGGAAAGGAGATACTGTATATGTGTTCTGTTAGAAATCTATAAGTTGTTTAGCGTCTATGATTGTTTCTCTGAAACCAACCACTTCCAAAACTGATTGGGTTTGAGGTTGTAATGTCTGGCAGGTAATCTCTTGTGAGCTGCTTGTGTCCAAAATCTGGTGTTTGCTCTGCAATCGATTTGGGCTTCTGTGATCTGGGCTGTCTGGAGGTCTGTGGCTGTGATTGAGCTGAGCTGTAGCTCTTCATGACCATGAGTTTTCACAGAACTGGCCTGAATAATGTGTCCCCTGTCACCTGGAGTCTGTAAACTGAGGTTAGAAGTAGGTATAGGAGCTCTTCACAGGAAACATTAAATCAGTTTTTGTAGTTGTCTTGTGGAAAGAGGAGTGTGTTATACAGGAACCTCCAGAGACAGATTTTTCAGGTTATTTACAATAAGCTTACTTGACACCTCATGCATGTCTGTGGCAGGAGGTGGGAATACGAAATTCCCAATGAGTTCCAGGTGACACTGGGATCATTTTGACCTGGGGGCAAGGCAGAAGGAGCAGCCTGTGCTGCTGGCTCCCATCAGCCTGTCCTGGTCCAAGTCCAGCTCAGTCTGGGTTGCACATACAGAGCTGCCAGAGCCTGGTGCTCTGTGTCTAGTGGGACACACACTGGGCTGGGACCCCCTTCCCAGACTGCTCACTCTTTTGCCTGGAGGGGAACCTGTCTGAAATGTGTTATGACTAAATGCTCTTAGGAATTCAAGGATGTCTGGAAAAGGTTCAGGTCCTGTCAGCACATTTAGCTTTGGGGATCTGCCTCTCTTGGGTTTTCTGGTTTGTTTGGGTTTTTTTAAATTACTGTTTTCTTGCACGCAGGTACTCTTATTTCCAGTCTTCCTATGCTCAGGCCTTGCCTTAAATTATAGGTACTTTAATGACTAAAGTTTCAACTGCAAGTATCTTTTGGCTTGTCCTTTCTTCTCCCTTTGTAAAGTTTCCTTAGGCTGTTAGGGACTTCTGAAGAATAAAACTCACAGGTTTCACTTTACAGTGCTCTGTGTTAAAAGCATCTGTTGTGTCTGTGAGTTTATCACCTTGCAGTTGGATTACAAAAGTTGGGCATCTAAAAGGCATCTGAGCCAGGTGTAGGCCAGGCAGATGCTGTATTTCCCAATATATTGAGAAGTACCAATATATTCCTTGAATATTTTTAATCCAGATACTTAAATAGCACAACCACCAGTGAATTCAGTTGCCTCCCAAGTATGTTTAAAAATAGCAGGCACAGAGAAGTAGGGATGTATTCATGGCAACCGTTTTTGTGGAGCAGGTGGGCGGCTGCATTTTGTACCAGTCTGAAGCTTTCTGGGGGGTGGTGCAGCTTTGTTCCTAGAGAGATGAGCCAATAAATTCATCAGGCAGTATCCCATCCATGGCTCAGCACAGGCAGGAGCCTGGGTGTCCAAAGGAGTGCCTAAAGCTACAGGCTGATGTAGTAAGTTCATGTACATCTTTGGGTATCCCAGAAGAGGAAGACTCAATTAAATTCCCCCTCTCTGCTTACAGTTCATGTTGAGTGACAGCCAGATGCTCTTTGCTTGCTGCTGAGTGATTTCTGGCTCTGTGTTGGCAGCGAGCGTTGCTGGCACAGAGTGTGAAGGAAGTGGAAAGCCAGGTGTTATCCACAGACTCCTGACACCTCATCCTACATTGTTCTGTTAGCCTGCCAGGAGTTTCACTCTGGTATTTCTGGATTTGAAGGAAGGGATTGTACTCTGAAAGGCCCTGTCTGACTCTAGAGGAAAGACCGTTTCGCATGAGTTGAGCAGCTTTGAGGGCATTTCCCACCTTCCTCATTGTCTTCTGAAGGCACCTTACACTGTATTTTTTTTTTGAGACCATGCTTTTCCAAGCATCTGCAGCATTTCAGCTTGGTTTTCTGATCCTGGCACTCATTGCAGCAGTTTGAAACAATGACTGTAGCTTGTCTCCTGCAGCCCTGCCCTGTTTGCATGTGGGCTGGATCTGGGAAGACCTGACCCTGTTGGGGTGGTCTGACCTCCAAGTGTGTCAGTGCTGCAGCCTGAGCCCACAATGTTCTTAGCCTTGCAGTTTTTAATTGAGTCACTATGAAAGGCCATTTCCTGCACTGCATATTTGATTTATTTTTTGGGGGTGTAAAGCTTCATCCAGAATACCAGAGAAACACTGATATTTGGGAAGGCACCTCACACTGACAGCTCCCTGTGCACTGAGGTCAGCTTTTGTGTAAGTGTGGCTCTGTCATCATCGTGTAGGCACAAATGAGCTGAAGCTGCTTGCTTTTGGCAGCTGGTGGGATAAAAAGCATCATAATGCCTTAGTGATAAACAGAACTTATTCACTACTGTGGGGCATAAATAAAGGAGTAAAACATTGCCCTATTAATACAGGGCTGGTGATTCAAAACATTTTGTGAAGGGAGGTGCAAGTTGTGCCACCTCCAGAATGCAGCTCTTGGTGGTGGGAGTTAGAAATCAACTACTTCACTGTCTTTACATAAATAGTCATTGTGCCTGACACTTCAGGTAATTAAGCTGACCATGTTTAGCTTTTTCAGACCGGAAAATCGTTAGCTGTTTGTTTAATCAGGGACTGAAAGACTGGTTCAGCCTGGTTGAGATCTGAATCTTGGCTACTCTTTGCCTTAAAAAGCAAAGGTTAGGTAACTAAATACTTTCTTCTGGAGTCCTCAAGAGGGAAGAAAACTGGCTGTAGTGAAAAGGGGATCACTTGCTGAGTGCTGCCTTTTGATTCCAGTGGGATTGTCATGATTTAGTAGAGCAAGAAACTTGATTGTGACTTCAAACCATTCTCCCAGTTCCATATTTTAGGACAGTATGTGCTTGGCTCTATCCTCTGCTAGAGCATGTGGTGTGTTAAGGCATTTTAAAGATACTTTTGTTGCAAATGTGTCTGGAAATGCAGACCTTCCCTACATGTACAAATACTCCTATTATACAGATCAATAGACTTAGTTTTCATGTTCCAGAGCAGCTTCACATAACATCCTTCCTTCCTGGCAGAGCCTCAGGAATAGGCTGGGGGTGTTAATGGAAAAGTGATTTGAATACAGCCTCTAGAAGTGATTTGCAATAAAACGTGACCTATTTCAAGATTATATTCAAGCATAGT